AATAGATTTATAGATGTAATTTAATTAATATACTATACTAATTAAGTCCAGATTGTAGTTAAATAAATAATTTGTATACCTATAATATTATAATAAAGTTAAATCTATAAAATATCTATTATGAGATAGTGTGTAGGTCTTTACTCTCCAGTCTCCACTCACGTTAAATCGAGCTCTAGACTGTGATTGTTGATTTTCTGTAAATTAGTGCACAATTCCTGTGGATGACTGGACGTAGGTATTGCATGAAAAAAAAAAGCATTTAGTGTTGTTTATATGCGATAAAATAGATGGAAGTATCATAAGTAAAAGCATTTTCTTATGTTAAACAGTAAAACAAAACAAACCATACCAATAATATTCATGTTTTCGTATGTTAATTATTATTGCTGAATTCCTTGAATACATACAACCGCTGCTGTCTTAAGTTCATCTTAATGCCCCAGCGTTTCAAAAATATCCCATGAATTTTTATTGGTTTGAATTACTTTACCAATCGCACTATTGTTGGAATGATGAAACTAATTTAAATAAAGGTCACATCGTTTTTAGTGCAGTTAATACAATTATTGTATCTTTAAAACTTTCAAAAAATATGTAAGATTTAGAATATGATATATTCTATGATTTTATGTTGTATTATAACTTATTAAAACTTCAGTATTAATAATAAAAAAATACAACAACAGAGTTGTTATTTTATGTATCTTTCAAAATATAATTTTCTTATTTTCATTTAAAATTGTATTGAGTCTATTCAATTACGATATACATTTGCAGAATATCGATAAAATGAAATTACACCAACGTTTTCGAGGTCATTCAAAACTGTAACCATTAAACGATAAGATATTTTCTTCAGAGATGATAAAAATAGTTAACCGAGTGATTGATAACAAAGTTCACCACAAAACGTTTAACTTTTTAAAACCAAATGGTACAACTTTTCAAACTTTAAAAGGTTTATAAAACTTTTACTACCCACTAATTGGTTTAGTTCTTTTTTGACATAAGTAGTTGAGTGTGTTTTATACAACTAAAGAACTAAACGCGTAACTTTACTGTTGTCTCACTATACGTATAAATTACACATTTACACTTATCTCCAGCAGCATTAATCATTCGAGTACATTTATTTCATACTACTTGATGATTTATGAAAACAATAGTTCTCGTATGCTAGCAATTTTGAATTATTTATCTATTATCGTATCTAAAGTTTAAATTTCTACATAGAAATTATCGAAATAGTTTAAAAGCTAATTTGTCTGGCATTAAAATAGAATTAACGTCTTAATTTATACTAAATTCTGGTTAATTTTTGCTCCTGCTCAAATCTTTGAAAGAGCAACTTACAAAGTTGATACGAATTTTGAATTTTGACGTGAATTAGGGTTTAAATATAATTATAAACGAGTAAATAATAATAAATTTATAATAAAAAATATATTTAAAATGAATAACTTAAAAAAAATGAAGCTCATTGTAATATAATATCTTATTTTACTTACCACTAACCATTATCAGATATATACGCATGGTCATTTCAAATATGACAAACCCATTTTTTTTTTTTATTCACGTTACGAGATGAAGATCTATAATTATTTTTATGTATTATAATAGTTTATCTTTATTTTTAACATCTGGTTTTTTTAATTTTTCAGTAAAGCTAAGTTATTTTAGTAATTAACATCGTCAGTATATAATATACATATTGTCACTTATGGCCTATAGACATTATCATAGCATGCCATTGCTTAACCATGATTATTACTAAAAATGTGAGATTTTTTTTTTTTGATTAATTCTATATTAACTTGCAAATTTAATATAATTTGGTATCTTTTAAAGTTTATTGGTTTAAATTATTATATCTAAAGATCATTATCAATCGAAATTGGAAATAACAACAATATTGAGCTTGTATTGAAGTTAATATACGATATCACGATATCGTATTTTAAAATATAACCAAGAAACATGATGTGCGTGTATTGTATAGCGTATACCTACCTACACATGACTAAATTAAAAACTTTTTAACGCGCCAGTATATATTTTTATTACACTGCTCGTTCAGAACTAGAATGAAGTGTGGAAATGGAAAAAAAAACCATAAATATTATAAAACGACAGAAAATTGCACTAATTATCTAATTTTAAGACAGTTCTAAATTTAATAGTCCCAGAGACGTAACGACGCAGAGTGAGAACGGACGAGGGGACAGCGAACAACTGTCTGCTTGCGCCGTCACCTCTGTAAATATTATAAGTATAGATTTTGAATCAAATACAGAAATATAATAAAATATAATATGTATAAGTTTCGTATCTACCGAGTATAACGGAGTTTCTGTATTATCTATTGTACTTCATTATGCAATACTTTTCAGCGCTTTGGTTGATTATTTGCAGCGTTCTTTTGCCGATAGGCCCCAAAAGATCGGATCACGTTGATGTCTTGCAATATTAAATCATTATTATGAGCTGAAAGGTCTATATATATATATATTTTAATACTTTTCATGAGAACAAATTGATTTTTCTTCCGCGTATATAGTAGGTAGTTCTATTAGCAGAAGACAGTTTTTAGTAGATAACAGAACATGATATTATATTATATCAAGTATGTTCTTAGTATAGTATTAAATAAACCAACTACACATACCTTTATACTGAAATGTATTATTATGCTGAATAAATATATTTTTGGAACATTTAAAAATACTGACATTTATTTACAATAAAATGAAATCATAATGATATTAGGTAATTTAATATAATATTTGAACGGTTTTATTTTTTTTTGTTTTTGGTCACAACATTTGTCATACAATGGTTACAATATCAAACTAACACAAACAATCATTTTTGGGAACATAGAAATGGTAGTAATATAAATAAACAATGATGGACTATAATATAAGTATACGCGATATACTTATATAGGTAATAGTGTTATAGATATAATATTATCTAGTACAAATACATAATACGATGGACACAACAACGCGAGCCGCTTTCATAATTAATACTTAAGTAATAAACACACTAGTTCCACGATCACTAGAAAGATACATAAGATTTTAACGTTAAAAATATAAATAAGTAAAAACAAAACAAAATCTCTAAAAATACAAAACTTTGAATATTATTTATTTTGTTTTTTAATTCACGTATATATACTTCTCCCCAGTGATCTAAACACTTATAAAACGAATATTGACTAGGTGTTTTTCTCTGTAATATTTAACAAATATAGAGTATAAAAATCACTATTATATTTTACTTCTTAGGAAAAAAAATTCATATTTATCGCTTAGTATTCATTAAAATTGTTGTGGGAAAATTTTAAATCATCGCGTACGGACAGTAAATAAATAATAATAAATATGTATATAATATTATATCATAATGCTAATGTATAATATGCATTAAATAAAACTAGTCAGGCACATTTAAAAATTACAAATTGAAAAAAAAAAATATGACACTTTAATATAAATTTGTACAACATAGGAAAACTAAAATATATAAACTTATTTGGTATAAAAATGTATTTTTAATTTTTACAAAAACATTGTTGCGTTTCTTAAGCACGCGAGATTTCACGAATTCGTATTTTAGATTCGGCGAGGGACGAACTTTGGTGTTTTATAAAATATTCGCCGTTAATCGGACTGGTATGAACGTATTATAATTATTATTAATAATAACATAAGGTCGCGACGATTTAAAACGCTGCTCGTTTGTCACGTACATTTTATACTATTTGAAATTTGGAATGTAAACAAATTGTTTTATTGTTCAAACGGACGTCAATAAGCATGCGCGTTCTAATACATTCGTGTTCTCTAGTTAGAATACCTACATTCGACAGAGCCGGACAAATTTTTCGTTTATATTTTATTTTTACCGTATGGTGTAAAATAATATCATTCGGAATAACAATATAATACAATATCAGTAGAGTAAAAAATTAATAAACAAATTTAACGTGTTTTTTCGTTATGTTATAATTTAAAAAATGGCACATTTCGGGAAGTCTACGGAAATATACAAACCTGGAGTCGCAGCCAATGTATTACATATTATACTTATATTATACGACATTATAATTGTAAATTTTATACCGAAGAATACTGAACGTTCACTGAATACCGATGAGTGATGCTGCGAAATATACGGGTGAGGATGGGGTGGGGGGATGGGTGGGTAGGGAAACGGTCAACGATAACTTTTAAAACCCCGAGTGGTCGGGCGCGGTGGAGGGTAAACCGTGGATAGATTTCAGACGCGGAAAACGTAATAACGTGTGCGCTCGTAAGCGGCGGCAACGGCGTGTGAAGATTCTACGCAGACTACCTCCCGGTGGGCAGATTTCACGGATAATGTTGTGGTTTTTTCGGCGCGCATAATTATATAATAATCAATAAGTCTACAACTATATATTATTATCATCATAATATATTTTACGTACTATTAATGCGGCGATAAAAATATAACGACGCGCGTACAGCTTAAGAGGATATCAGGTAGACGTGTCGCATAATGTGACACTATAAATACATAACACCTGCGATGTAGTTTTGGATAAAGTATAAGTATAGTAGGCATATAGGCATAGTAATATGATTGTAATATATTATATTGCGTTATACGATATTATGTTATTTCGCGATCGTAGGTCGAACGCGGTCGACGAGGATTGGATTTGCCGCGGTCGACTCTAGCGGGACTCCACGCGGAAACCGATCGCGGCGAGCACAACATAATAGTAATTATAGCAATGATAATAATAATAATAATAATAATAATAATAATAATGATAATAATAATGATAATAATAATAATAATATTATAAAATAAATGATAATATTTTACGATATAAGAAAAGCAGTACTGTATAAATAATATAATATATGACAATAATAGTAATAACAATAATATAATATGTTAAGCGCCTATAATATTGTGTATTGCATTATCGTTATCGCTATTGTCATTAATATTAATATTAATATATATATAATATGTACATTTATTATTATTGTTACGGTTAATTGTCGTTAAAATGTAGGAACTCGTCTGTCGGAACCGTGACCGCCAAAGCCGCGATCGCGTCGTCGTCATCGTCGTCGTCGTCGGCGCCGCCACCGCCGTCCGCGTCCGCGATCGACGACGGGGCGACAACCGTGGTAACCAGCACCTGCTGGACCGCGACCGCGGGTTCCGGCGGCTGGGCGTCCGTCTCCGATTTTTTCCCGGCCTTTGCGCCGTGCTGCCGCTGCGGTTTATCGCCTTTGCCACCTTTACCGCCGCCGGTCGTGGGTTTTTTCGATTTCTTTTTCCGGCCAGCGGCGTCCACCTTCCGGTGATTGATTTCGTCGCCACCGTCGCCACACCGGTTGTTGTTGTTGTTGCTGTTCTTTTTCTTGTTTCCGCCTCCGCCGCAGTCTTCGTCCTCTCTGCTGCCACCGTCCCTGTTCCCGTCGTCCTTGCTCTTCTTCCGACCACCGCCGCCACCGCCTTTCATTTGGCATTTGCGGCTCTGCGACTTGCGGTGCTTGGCAGTGGCGTGCGGCGGCCCCACGTGCGGCGGACACGCGTGTTGGTGCCGGTGCGCGTGCGGTATGGACGCCGGCCACTCGGCCGACTGCAACGGGCGCCGGTTGGCCAACAGCCGTTCCACCCGTTCCGCCGGCACCGGTTGCGTCAGCACACGCGTATACGCGGACAGCTTGCCGAGGGGGGCGTCCGCTTTTACCTGCACCTTTCGCGGCGCACCCCGCTTGTTGAGCGCCAGGTAAAGGGTGCGTCGGTCGTTCGTGTACTTGACCGACGAGTACGTGTTGTAATGGTTTTGTTCGATCATCTCGTTGAACACGCATTCGTCCTCGAAATCCTTCTGCAACAGACAACAGAAAACGTTAGCATCACAGTTATAATATCAAACCGTCGAAATACACCTGATAAACTATGTACTACGTGTAAGCATAATTATTAGGTAATATATGGAATAAAATATTCTGAAAAACTATGTCGATATATGAAACGATTAAATGAATAGGTACTTCTTAAAAATAATACTTCGAACAGGTAATTTTAACATTGTGGTGAAGTCGGACAACGAAATCAGTTCTTTAATAGCTCAAATATTAAAACATAATTTTTCAATTTTGTCAATTTATCTTTTAAAATTATATTATATTTAACACCTACGACTTCCTGTAGAAGTTAATGCAGACTATACGATATTTTATGATTCAACAGTTCTGTTTAAACGTTGAAAATCGACGATGTAGATTTTCGTTTAACTTCTACATCGAACAGTAATCCATGGAAACCATTTATCTACTATATTGTGCTATACAGTATATACACCCTCTATTTTATACAATGCCAACCATGATGGACGAATAATTACGACGTGCCACTCTTTTGCCAGTGGGTATCAAATCGCTAAAGACGAATTCTATATTTTCTGCCCAGACTTATTCAATAGTCTTCCCCCAAAGAGCTTTCGAAGAATTCTTTGCATTATTGTGATAGAGAACTTCATAAAGTTTATATTTTATAGCCAAATATTACTACACACATTTAATAATCTATTGGTAGGATGATAAGCGAAACAAAAATGTAGTTTTCGGTCGATATAAATTCCTAAATCGGGACAACTGTATACGTTATTGCTTATTCTTGACCACAAAGCTTCTCTGACATTTTTGTGAAAAGAATGTCCATTTTTTTATGACTTTTTAAATTATTTTGGTAAAGAGGTTAAATTTCCTTTCCAATTAGTAATATTCTGGTCATTATTTTTTATATTTTTGAATGGAACCAATTGATTGTATAATACATATTGTGTGTGTGTGTGTGTGTGTGTGTTTAAAAAAAAAATATATTTTGAAACGTTAAATTAAGATAAATAATTGAACTAGAATTGTATGACCACTTTCAGAAAAACTTCCACATATTGTACTATTAGTTTGTAATCAAACTAATGGTACGTGATTTTTGTAAGATCAATTTTAAATATGAACAAAAAAAAAATTTAAAATATATGTTATAACTATTATACCTGTACTTTGATCAATTATTTATTAAATGGTTTGAAAAATAAAGATGAACATGTATTTATGTAAATACTCACTTTAAATTGTTATTCAAAAACAATTTAAATACTTGTATAGATAAATTAATTACACTTTAAAGCGTTACATACATGCCAATTATGACCAACGGAGGCTTATAGATAAACAGTATGTATACTAATTTTATTATACGCTAAAACATTTTTTTTTTTTTTTAAATATTTTCTTTAAATGAAAATATTACCTTTATTTATAATAATGAACATATAAGTACAATGATAAAACGCAATATTTAAATATTTGTCGTTTGTTTAGTAACGCATATTATTATTATACCACATTAAACAGTGAACGTTATCTGTGCTTATTCTTAAAAAGTTTGTTATCGAAAAAAAAAAGAAAAAATTGTCGGACATAATTCGTGCGTGAAATTAAGCAACCTGGTGGAATTTTTCCACGCGAACCATTTAAGCAGTATGTATAGATATGTACGCGACGCTGTCTCAAATTCGAAACGGGTTTAGTAAATTTCGTACCACTGCCCACTTACACGTACGCACACAGCTCACATGTCTCAGTAATGCATTGCGTTCGGTATTAATTTCGTTCACATTATTGCATGTGACTACGAGTATTCTTTATTTCTTTGTATAAAGCTATATAGGTAGATAGACTCAGAATCCGGTACCCTGTTTTCAATAACTATGTACAACATACACGTCTTCGACGAAATAAATCATAAAAAATACCGTATGTTTGTATTTTCGTACAAAGGTTCGTTAAGCTGTTTTACGCACATATATATCAATATAAATCCGCTAAAATCCATTAATTAAATACTTTTCTTTGACGTGTATAAAAATAAAGATGGATCCGTTATAATGTCATATTTTTTATACTGTTTTTTATGAAAATGAGATAGTTTTTGTCTTTTGCGTTAGTTTAAATTCGGATATACACAACAGACAAAATACATTTAATGCCTTTTAAGAGGGCGCAAACATAATACACATTAAAATATCTTCACGTACTTCAAACAGTACTACTTTTTTTATTAAAGCCATGGAAGTGACAGAAACGAATGGTATCTTAATAAATGTATATGAGAATGTGGAATTAACATCATTAAAACTAAAAAAAAAATAATAATAATAATAATAAACAATATGTGTGTAGTGTGTAAACAAAATAACATCGTTCTTTCTAATAGCCTCTTTACACCACTTTAAATCTAAAATTACTTTAATAGATTTTCGATGTATTGATTAATTGTAAGTTTTATTGTCCTCGATGGATACAGAAATAGAATAATTGTTTATCTAAAACGAGCGCCATCACTTAACTTTTGAAGTTGAGGCGTTTAAATTCAGATTTATACAATTATACCGATGTATATTTCTTTCAACACTGCGATCGCAATGAAAAATATTCGAAATAATTCTATGCAATTTTATTGAATTTATTAGTATTTTTTTTTAAATTCTTTATACATCGCTTATCATAGAAGATACGATTTACGCTTAATGGTAAAGCTATTTTTAACATTGTTCCGTGTATCATGCGGGCAAAAATGATGCAAACATTTTGACACTTCGACGAGATACAATCCAAAGTTGTGTGTGTTACATTAATTTTTATACCCACTTACAATAGTCACTTATAGATCACAAGTAGTATTTTAACAGAAGTTAATCGCATTGCTAGTCAGAATTCAAAGTGCATTAAAAATACAGTATTGAACAATTGCCAATTAAGCCGTTTTGGAGCTAATACAAATGTACCTCTCTAGTTGTTTTAATGATGTATGTTATTAAATTGTTGTTAATTTTTACACAATTAATATTTAACATATAACTATTAACTTCTTTGATGTACAATTCATACAATATAATATATAACTTAATAAATAAATGAATAATTAAAAATAATAAAAATACAATACATACCTATAATACGATTATTTTTTATTACTGAACAGTTAGACATTGAAAATAAAACAAAGTTACTTAAAAAAAATTGTCCTTCTTTCATTAATCAATATTTTGACATTATACATTTATACGTAGTATTTTATTACTATTATTAATAATTTTATTTTTTATTTTTTTTTAAATTGCTTTTGTGTATATTATATATTATACATGTATTAAACATTAGTAGGCCTATTATTTGATTATAATTATTAGTTGTCAGTTTATACGTTTATTTTACTAGGTCTTAATGGATTTCAACACGTCGTTTTCGTACCACCTTTGATAAAAACATTTAGTATCAATGGCGGTGTGTCAAATAAAAAAAAACTTTTGAAATATTGGCAAGGGCCCTAAGTGTATGGCTTTCTTCTCTGGTGTTTAATTTTAGAATACAAATAGAAAACAACCCTTTTTTTTGTGATTTTGTACACGTCTTTTTGAATAGTATTATAGATGAATTATTAAATTTATCATTCTAATTTTCAAACAGAATTATAAAAATGCTCATAATGTTTAATAATAATAAATGTGATTATTGTAACACATACGTAATTTTAAATATAATAGTTTCAATAAAAAGGTTTTCAAAGGTTTAAATTTAAAATGCTTACCGAATATTTATAATAATATTTAAAAATATCAAATATCAATTTTAAATGTAAGTGAACGAATTATTTTTTAATATTTATTAAGTAGTTTTCTTAAATTCTTCATTTAAATAAAAAGTTTAAAAACAATAATGTTATGATTAAATAGTTCAATAAGTAAAAGTTATTTATAATAACACTGAATACATTTCACAAATAGTCAAATCTATGTATTAAGACGATGTATTAATAATACATCTATAAAGTTAGTAATAGTAGGTTATGTATGAAGAGACTAAAAAAATATTTAAATATATTAAATAAAAATACAGATAATATCTAGTAAATTGTATGACAACTTTATCTTATTTTTAGTATTTAGACATTGGTAATAGTAATATTAATAAATGTTGCGTTTTCTCGTTTTACGATCTTCGTTAAAATTCATCCTCTATATACCATATATGGACAAACTACATTATATTTCAGTGTGAATTTTAGATCAAGATCTACTAATCATATAAATGATAATATTTACAGAATCATTAATTTAACTAGTAACACTATTTTTTTTAGAACATAACTGTGATTTTTTGAAAAAATGTTTTACTTTAAAACTAAAATTATATATAACATAAAATATTTACAAAAATGTCTGGTATTTACTTTTTTAGATGATATTGATGATAAACTTTAATATTAATTTCATTTATTAGAGCATTTTTTTTTTTATTAGATACTTTTATTGATGTATACAATAATGTGGAACGAATAGAACCGTATAGGTTTTATAAACATTTGAAGTACACGTCATATATGACAATTATTTTAAAAAGTAAAATGTAAATATTAAGTTAAATATTATATTATAGGTATATAATGTAAATATTATGGCAATAATCCTACATTTAACAGATTTCGCTTGCTACTTAGGTACATTTATGTATTTGTGTCGCTATAATAATATATTATAATAAATTATACACACTTGAAATAATTTAATGATAGACATATACAATATTTAAATTAGTAAAAATGTTTACTTTTTTGGAATTCTTTTAAATTATACTTACTTAGCATGAAAATTAAAATAACAGGACACTATAAAGGACAATGATAAGTAAATATCTCCATATTTTTATTCAAAACACAAAGTATAGGTATGTACCTTTTTATTTATACGCAGTTATCCGTGTCTATTTAGTATAGCCAGTATAGGTAACGAAGATAGATTTAACTGCCAAAACAATATAC